GTGCAGCTGCCTGCTGATCGGAGCTACCTCAAAGCTTAGAGAGACCATCCATACCCACACAACACAAAGCGCATTAGCAAGCAAAGAAAGGGAGCAAGCACTGACAGCAGATTCTTGTTTCCTTTCCCTGTAAAGTTCCACTTTGTTAGCTTAAAAAGATGGAACAAACTTGATTATTTTTAATACCTCTGAGCCACTGTATATTAAATAAATAGTAAAGTCCAAGTCCTGGTTGTGAAGGATTGCGATTAATAGTGTAGTCATTAGGACCCATAAAAGCCAGATGCTTTCCACAGAAAAGCATATGTTTCACTGGAGCTTTCTCAGGCTTGGGTTTAAGGAATTTTAGTGAGAGAGAAACCCAAGCTATCAAAGCTAATTGGCCAATCTCTCCTATTGAGTTCTCCCATTTTTCCAACTGTCTGTGGGCCAGAAACTGACTCAGCAACATGATGGTTAGGTCACTTGCTGGGAATATGAGAAACTCAAGTTCAAAGTCTCTCTCTCAATCAGGTAGACAACATAAACCTCCATCTCTTACAACTCAGGGAAATGACTCAGTCATTAGGTTACCGGTAATCAGTGTGGAGTCAACCTTGTGGGTATGGCTTTTTCAGCAGTGAAAGGTTTGGGTTTTTTCTAATATGGAACAAACCCAGAAGTCAAACCTCAGTTTTATTGTCAAACAAAATTCTTGCATTCTGGCCAGTCCTCAGTAATATCACTTCCCATTTAAACAGTCTTCTTCATTCAGGGTGTTTGTGCTCCCCTCCCTCCCACCCCCACGGTGGCACTGAAGGGTTGGTTCCACAGCTTTCTTCAGATCACTGGGGACCTGACAGCAGACAGATATCCTCCTGCTGTCTTTGATTCTTCTGTTTCATTTACCTGAAGTGATCAGAAATAAGTGAACATAGGCAATATCTGACAGCTTGCTGGTATTTTTTGTTCAGTGCCAAAGAACACACCCACAGTTCTCACCCACCACTGAAAAGGAAACAGGACAAAAAAACAGAAAAACCACCACCTTGGCGTGACCAGACGTCATCCCTCAGTTCTCATGCATGTCATGGTTGGCCACAGCATACGGACAGAAACCCTGCCCTAAAGAACCACCACAAAAGATGTAACTGGTGGGAGGTAACAGGCCAGAGACTGCAGGAATGGAGGGAGCATGAAGAAAAAACACCATGTGGCTCCAGAGCCCAGGAGAGCCAAGGCTTTCTTTTATCTTCTCTATTTCAAACAGGCCTTTTACCTCACTAACTTGTAGCATTTCCAGTTTTCTTGCATTAATTTGTTTAAAATGTTGTTCTTGCTGCATTAGTCAGCAGTCATTTTTGTTGCTTTCTTCCTATAATTTTACACCTAGATGGCCATCTATGAAAAAGCACCTTTCAATTGCTTATAAATACACAGCCAGGGCAACTTAGACAACTATCTATTCTGCTTCCACTTAGGAGTCTGGCAAATGAAGAACACAGAAGAAGAGAAAAAAAAGTTGGTGCCTAAATTTAAGAATTGAATCCACGTCTAAGCACTTAAGCATTTAAATATGTGGTCTGATTTTCAAAAAAAAAATTGGAATCAAAAAACTGCCAAATGGGAGCCGATGACTGGGAGAATTCCATCCCTTATTTTGTTGCCTAAATAGCAATCCAGGAATAGGGCTCAGGAGCTCATTTTAAACAAAATATTTGTACGTATGCTGGCTAGAGCTGGATGGAATAAATCAGATCATTGGTCCCCTCTGAACTGGCAAATCAGTGGAATTTTTAAAAAAGAACTATTCATATTATACAGGCATTCAGAAGATGGCATATGACAGTCGGGCACTGAAAGGACACAAGAAAGGTTGTTGTCCTGAAGATAGATGTTAGAGCTGGGTAACTGGCACTACTGCCTTGGCACAGAAGGTCCAGGTGCTCTCAACCTGGAACCTGTGTAAGGCGCTGCTCCTTGCACTAACCTCAGCCACCCACCAGTCTGTCAGGCTCCTTACCCCTAAAAATTCACTTTCTGTTATGTGGTTAGGCAGCTCAAACACAGGTATCAGCCAGCCTAAATGAACCTTCTTCGCAGAGGACTTTTTCTTCAGCAAACTTTACACTAAAAAAGAGCCTAAGGAAAACCAGACATCATCTCTTGCAAGGCTCCTTTATCCAATTCTCTCCCAAAGTGATGGCATCTTGTATCGATTTGCTCTCAGTTGCTCCCAAATGACCACATCCACATCTCTGCTTTATTGAGAAGATGGTTTGTAGGTGGAAAATCCTTTATGTTCTGTGAAACTACTCTCTGATAATAGCTGTAGCTACTTCTTTCATATGGCTAATCAGGCTGAAAATTACCTGAATATGGGAGCTTCCCAAGAGGAGTTTCAGCAAAAGCTCCTTTCTCAGCCTGGGCGGTGCCTACACTTAACTAAATCAAAGTTTACTTAAAAGCTTATTAGAGCTTTTGGCTCCATACAGACATCACATTTCTGGGAAGTTTTGATCAAAAAGCTTGGCATGGCTACAATTACAATATTGTTACAAGTCAGTAAATGTTATTGATATGTTTAAAACAGAAATTGTGTTCATTTTATATACAATTTGTCTCAACTGCAGTCAGCAAGACCAAGGTTGTAGGTTTTCTAGATTTTCATCCTCCCATTTGAATCTTTCAAATATATTTTCAGCTTACAATAAAGCCTGCCACTAATGCCCAACCAGCCCAAACAATAATCACTCAATGAAAAAAAGGAATAACAATGTTGATTACCGAATTAAAAGGATGAAGCAGCTATTGACTTTTAATAGACCTATTAATAATTTTTTATGGGTTTCATTCTTGACTCTAACTTAAAACAGAATGAACTGCAGCAGTTGTACAGGGAAACTGCGATCTACCAGGTAGTTTTCTTATGCCCACATCATGATCTATCCACATTTACACAATTTTCCAAAGTCTAAACTGAAACAAATAATTCTCTGACAGCCAGTGACAGCTTTGAGTGTTATACCTGTATTTAATGGAATAAAACCCACAAACCAATTTGTCAGACACACCACTGTGTCAAGCTCAATTACCTGAATAAACAGAAGTAATGGTTAATTGTACTTGCTGCTCACTTTTTTGAAAGTGCCTCAGTGTTGATTTTTGCAGTCTCTTCCCAAGAGGATTACATCTGCCTGGTTTAAAATTTCAGTTCCAAGCATCATGTCCAAAATCTAAAAGCTTGCTACAGAAAAACTATAAAAACTTGGGAAAAGATCATTCATTCTTTGGGGAAAATTAGCCTTGAACCTAAGAGGAATCTTACTGAAGCAAGCCTCATCTGTGGGACAAGTAGAGCTTCTATTGCTGATGCAAATAGGTTGTGATCTGTCATGATGGAAGCCTATCAGGAACTTTTCCCAAGTGATCAGCGACTCCAAATGCGTCTTTCTCCACCGACAGCCCTGAGGCAGATGCCTAACATGCTAGCCAAACAGCATGAGGAACCCTAACATCAACAAGGTCACATTGAAAGCACTTAAAACACATAGGGATGAGGAGAAAAACATTTTTGCACTATTTCAAATAGTTTCAAGTTAATTTACATTTTTTTAAACACACCCTCATACCTCTCATTATTTACAGAATGCAAAAGCACACTGTATTTTGTTGTCTTCTACAGGGAAGAGAAATAGTGGACCTATGCAGACTCACGCAAGCTGAAAAGATGGCTCTTCTCTCCAGCAATTCCTTTGACCTTGGATAAAAGGCCTCCCATCTGGAAGTGTTTTTCCCTAAGTTTTTCACTCCATGCTCTTTCACACACACACACAAAGGCCCAGTGACTGCGAGAACTAAACTGCAGTCACCATGACACCATCAGTAATAGATCTTTCTATACATTTGCACGTCCTTCAGCACGGATAAAATCCACCCTCATACATTCCTTGTCAAGCACCCACAAAGGAGCAAAGCAGACTGCAGATGTTTAGCAGGACAGGTCTGCTGTCCTTTCAGTCCAAGGCAAAGACTTACATGCTGACCTTTAGGTGTGCACAAGTAATTGAGTGCACTGAAACTAAGAATGTGCAAAACATTCACAGATCCAGGATCAATCCAGCAAACTGATCCAGCTGTACCCTCTCCTCTGCACCTAGCCTCACTGAAGCTGGTAGGGTACCACATCAGCACGGATCTTCTGCAAGATGCCTGCTGTGCAGAGGCCAAGGGGAGAAAACTCAAATACAGAGGACAGTCCCCAGTACCTGCAGGCAGATTCATGCCAATGTGCAGCCCTACCAATGGCTTGGGTCTCAAGCACAGGTATCTGAGCTCTGGGCTGTGCTGGTCCAGTCTCATGCAGTCCTTTTCAGCTGTGATGGCGCCTGCTCACCAGGAATGCTCACCTCTGGGAGCCTAAGTGCAGATGAATGGCATTTTCTTTGCAACTTGCCCAAGGAAGTCCTACTATGGCATTATGGGTTGAAGAGCCCTTTATGCTTCTCCCCAACCTTCCTTCCTTCTAGACAAGCACTAAAAGGATTGCAGTGCTTTATAGAGGGGATTTCCTCACCACAGGACAAAATAAATTCACCTATGAAGTGCACTGCTAAAGGTGTTCCATTTCACATCCAGCAGCAGAAAAACAATTTTCTTTACCAGAGGTGGGGGTCTTGGGGTTGTTTGGGTTTTTTGGGGTTTGTTTTGGTTTATTTTTGTGGGGTGGTGCTTGGAGGTTTTGAGGGGGGAGGGGTGTTTGCTGGGGTTTTTTTGTTTGTTTGTTTGGCTGGATTTTTTAAGAGGCAGGTAGATTAATGACTATTTATTTCTGAAAAGTAGTCTCCGGGTTGGATCCAACTTCCAGCTGGTGCCTATCAAGATCTATAAGGGTGCAGAGTCATTCCAGATAAGGTAATGGCTAATTTCAAGAACTTTATTCTCCATGTAGCTTCAAGTATCTGTAGTTAAGCAATAATTAGTCCTAAAGTTCTATTCATGCACTGAGCAATGCAAGTAATAAGCAGTATTTCAAGACATTTATAGTATTCGTTTCCTAGACAAAGCCACATACAAGAACTGTTCTAACACTCCTCCACTCTGACACCAACTTGAAGGAGGGTGGGAGACCTGTCCTCTCCCTGCATACTGGGGTACGTGCAGATTGCATGGCACTGTTTCACTGCAATCTGTATGGTTTAGATTTTAATGGAGTGTTGGTTTCAGAGCTGAATATATTGAAGCTCTTGAGTTACAAGAATTATTATTGCAAACCTGACTACAGCTACAGTTGGTGTTCTTGGAAGATGAGGGTGCAAGTAACAAGAAGCTAACAAATTCATGCCAGTAAGTCAAGTTTAATTTGCTTTCCTTTTCCCCTCCCTTCTAAAGCTGGCTGAAATACAAGTTCCACTGTAAATGCAGTGACTAGCAAACATGGATGCCATCACAAATACAGCGCTGCCAAGAGGAAGTCCGCCGTTGACCAATAACAGAGTTTCCAATAACAACTGCAAGATATTCTGGGCACTGAACTGAAGAGATTTAGGGATATATTCTAAACAAGATGTGCTTTTTGCAGCTACAGAATATGAATTGTGTAACATTTGGACAAAAGGTTTTTAAGAAGTCACCAGTAACTTACATTACAAAGGCAGAATTGGAGGTTTTGCTGGCTCTTCAATGACCTTTACTTCAACAGATAACACTAAGCTCTCCCTATCAAGCCTAGTACCAAATATGGCTGCAAAAAATAAAGACACAAGTTATCGCTACACAGTTTGGCATTGCAAATGTCTCAAGTTTTTGCTGTTGACTGAAACAACATAAAAACATAGCCTGTCATTTTGGAGAAAGACTGCATGCTTGATAATATTTTTGTGTAGCATTTGTCACTGCCAGAGCACAATACAGAAAATTGAGTTCATTTGTTAACGAAGTAAGCCGTTCTTTGAAAAGCTACTCTTTAATGCAAGACAGCGTCAGTGACAACATTACAAAATCATTTACTAGAACTGGAAAATTACTTTTATAAAGATCACATTATATGACAGCTTCTCTTCTGTGATCTTTGCTTGCTGAGAGTGCAGGGCATTTAATACAGTTACTTCTGCAGACACATGATTTCTTAACTTTATTTTTTCATTTGATTATGGAAAACCCCCCAAATTTCCATTGCTGCAATTCAATAGTTCTATCAAAGACTGTCCATGCATTTTCACAGGAGTAATTTATTTTATCTTTGAAGTAAATACAAATTTGTCACAATTATTTGCTAGGTAAATTTGTAAACTCTACTATGTGGGAATTATGCCAAAATACAAGCACAAATCAGAGTGCTAAATAGTAATTTTGAAAAGATGCTAAGCAGTAGTGAAAACCAGAAGGTTCTAAGCAGCCAAATTAGATGAAATTTGTCATCAAATCACTGAAAACAAAATACAGAAGTCCTTACAGAGAAACTGATATACTATATGCCCGAGTCTGATGTTATGTTAAAAGTGATCCCTGAATAAAGCATTATATATAACAATTTCCAGCAGCATAGACGCCTGTTGCACAAGAATACTGTACTAAAGTTTTTTAATACCTTGAAGGTAAAATGTTATGGACCGCTAAGTAATTTTACTCAATCATACAGCTTCCCACCATTTTTAATTTTAAGAATTAACGATGAAGCAACCAATTAGCAACGAAGTTATCTGAGATGCAGGTAAAATTTAAAAAAAAGACTAATGAGGGTTTAAAACTCTAGATGGCACACTCATACAGTAAAAGACTATAAATCCAAACAGAAATACATAGGTTCATCTATGACATTTTCTAGGTTTTTCACCTGAAATATAAGTAATTTATCTTAAAATACTGTTCTGAGGCCAGTTTGTACATTACTACTATAAAAGGATCTTCAGTATTTCCAAGTTAGAATTGGGTGATTTAATGGAACACTACGCAGTATTTGCAGTTTTATATTTCAACAGTACTGAATTAAGTTAAGATTCCACATAGAATTAATTCTCATGGCATAGCACACTATCATACTCCAACCTAATTCATGGATAATGGGAATGAGATTTTACATGTTTCCTAAAGGCACAGTCTTATGCAACAGCCAGTTCAGTTATATACATTTTCAAGCTTTGAACTCACAAGGAAAGTTCTTGATGCTTTGTTTTTAAGCAAGAGCTCAGCTTTGGTTTATTACATCAAATCCAGGGTCATAAAAAGGGCATTTTAATACACAGCCTTTAACCTACCCATCTATATAGAGTAGGCAGTATAAAATATGAAACTCAAACCCAGGTTGGATGGTGGTTAACAGTACATAAAAATGACATTGCAATATTTTTATTCAAATTTGTCAAGGGTATGTTTCTGCTGTTATGCAATCTTACTGAAGCTGGAACAAATGAAATGATAGCTGTGCAACTGAATTGCCACAGTACACACCTGGACAACATCCAGAATGATCAGAACTGCAAAATGCATGAATTAGGATGCTTGACTAATTATCTGAGTAAATAAACAAGTGCCTAAAAGAGAAATAAAATATTGATTTACAGTGTGCTATATGCTTCACGCTAATGATGTAAAACCACTTTTATCCTACAGTAAGTACAAGGAAATTGAACAAGCTATCTGGTCCTTACAATGCAGTAACACTTGGTTACTGTGGAGAAGCTAATATACCGTAGTTTAGATCACAGTGAAGGGGTACCCATACCATAGGTACAAAATTAGTACAGGCTAGCATGCACTCAGATGCTTCTGAAATTCATGATATGGAACTTATGTACAACAAAGGATACAGAGAAGGAATAAAATAGAGTGCATATGCATCTACTGACTGGAGAACTGGGGACATGGAAGCATTTGCCCACAAAGCCACACAGAAGAACGTCTTTGGCCTTGAGTCAGTATAAGAGCACCTCTGAAGCAAAGCACACAAAAAAGTTTTCTCCATTTCTACAATACTGGATATCACCCATTAATAAAAATAACATCAGCTTTTTTCTCTAACAAAGTGTATTCATAACCACTCTTTGCTGTACGGTAAATGTTTACCAGAAAGTGTACCTCTGTAGCATGCTTTTACTCTTATATTTACAAATAAGATAAAAATTTCTAACACACATTATTCATCTACATATATACATCCATCATTTCCATTTGAAAGTCCAATAAATCACTGTATGTTTTTTAATCATTTACCAAGTTTATTTCTACAAATTATGGCTTAAAAGCAGGTACTACAGATACAAAATTTTGAAGAGACTGATGTGCAGCACATGTCACTGTCTATGTGGATAAGTTATTAATTTCAGTGAGTATTCATCACACTTCTCATAGCAGCAATAAATAGGTATTTTATTTTTCATAAAACATTATTTAGGTAGCACATTAATCAATACAAAATTAACTTTAACAGCACTAGAGTAACATAACCCAGAGGTCGTTACAAGTTGCATGGAATTGAAAAATTTAATATTGGATCTCTGTGCCAACCTAAGACTGAGTGATTTGCAGGGTCTCCAACATGTCTTCCACTGCCTTCAGAGAGTATTTAGTTTCTTTCTTACTGCGACCTGCAAACTAAACAAAACAAAAGATTATTATTATTTGTCATAGATCAGAAATTCTGTGCATAGGTCCTGTGCAAGTAACAGTTCTAAACATTAAGTACGAAAAATTAACTCTATTTGCTACTAACTTAGAAGCACAGCCTCTTTACTGTTCTACTAAAACTCAGCATTTTTACTAGAATACAAGCTAATGCACCTCTCCTCTAATAAGCAATGAAAAAATACAATAGAACTTCTTAATTTCACTCATTTGCTCTAAATTTGAATATTCAGCACTAATAAATATTCCACTTTAAAATTTAACATTCCTGCTGTCCTGTTTGATCTGTAAACTTTAACATCAGACTGGATTTTTTAATGTGATCCAAATTAGATTATAATCATAATTTAAATAGTATCAAGACATTGGACCTGTTACCAAAACTAATCTATTTTTTTTTTTGTTACAGAGAGACAGAGATGAGAAAGTTCCATGTATCAAAACCTACTATAAGATAATCCAGTCATATAATTATATTTTATGGTTCAAAGTAACTGTAATGACCTTGTATTCAATCATAACCTACTGTTACAACTTCAATTTCAGAGAGCATTTGAAATAAAGTCTGTTTTGATAACACAGAAAGATACCGTTTAATAAATACTACTTATGGCTTTATATTCCTAAAACACATGCAGCCAAGTTTGGGAAAAGAAGGGGTAGAAGAGTAGGAGATGCTATCATCCCACACTGACCTAAAAAGGGTTTTTCTAACTGTACTGACTCATCAGCCATACCTAATACAGTGGACTTATTGACTAGGTTGATCTTCAGTTGAATGAAACTCTCAACCATTTTTAATACACCTGCATTAAAAAGTTTTGCATTTGGGGCTGGGAAGGGTGGTAAAGAAATTATAGAAGTAGTAACTATAACTTACTGCTAGTAAAATAGCCTATTCTCTACCAAAATGCTAACATCTAAACACTCAATAAATTTTCAATTTAATGTTTTTTATTTCAAATACCACCGGTGTCTTGCATAGTTAGTTCTTGATTTATAATGTGTCCCCCCTCTCTTGTAATTATCTTAATTTAGCAAACTCTTCATGACCTGTTAAGAAAGATTAAGTCATCAAACCCAGGTAATATCACACCAGCAACAAGCTGCAGGACCTGTTAACCTGCTTTTGACCCCCAGGCTATAATCTAACATTGGGATTCCCAATAAGTACTGAGTTTTTAAAAAAATGGTTTTGGCACAGTAAATGAAAAGCTATTTCAAATTAAATAGTTAAGAGAATGAAATGTTGTTACTGTGACAACACTTTATAGTTGAGACATACTCAAAACACCGTATTTTTATATTTCATACTTCTAGATGATGAACTGATGTGCCATGTTTTGACTCCAGAAGTATGTATAAACCCATTCGTTAGGTTGTGCAGTTTCCATAGTGACCTGCAATAGTCGACTTCAGAAGAAAATCAAAATATTTCTTAACACACTTCCAGGTGACAGAATTAAATTTTGCTTAGATCTGACTTAATACAATGTTCTCTCTTTGTTCACACTAAACACGAATAGTCCCAAGCAGATACTTGGGGAGTCCATATACTTTCTTAAAAGCAAGAAAAAGAAAAGACAGAACTCAAAATCCTCGATTGAAAAATTGTTTCAGATTCAAAGCATTCAGAGATTTCAATAGAAAGCACAGAAGCCTGAATATACTGTGGTCAAAAAGAACACTTGGCAGGACACAGAAAGCATGCAGAGGAAAGCTTCAAAATAAGAATTTTACTTATTTTACTTCTCTTCAGGGACACTGAAAGCAAAACTGACATAAGACATTAGTTTAAAAAATGTTACTTGCTAATTTCAAGAGTGGTTGCCTTCATGATACTGACATGTACTTTAAGCTGAACAAATAAAACCAAACTCTGCGTCATAACAAACAGAAGTATACTTGGAAATGTAATCACTTCAAATTTGCCCTGACGAACAATTATTTTGTCTATTCTGCCATTACACAGCAATTTGACTGATTGAGCCGGAATCCATTTCTTAAAATCATGATTTAATTTTCTGTTTCCCAAATGGTTTGTAACAAAATCACCTCTCTCCAACCATAAATAATACGTGGATTGCTAACACAGAAGAATTTAGCAGTGTACCCAAGAAGCATGTATCTGGAAAATTACTATGAGTATGATCACATTAAAGATTTTTGTGAGCATTAATCAAACTTGCTTGCTTCTGCTGAAACACTTCTACCAGAGGACATGCTAAACCAATTACCTAATTGAAGAGCACTAGGTAGCCATATTTTGTTTCAGTGTTAAAGTAACTGTTACTCATGTCCTCAGTCAGAACAAATACACAGTTCTTCATAAGGTCTGCACAAAGAGAATAATACAGTTTCCCAGTGAAATGGTAAAACTGAGCTTATAGTAATAAATTTAAAATAATTGTTTGAATAATGAGTACTTCTCTAACATCTGAAATAAAAGATTAAAATTAAATTTTATTTGGTTTTGTTTTTTTTTTTTTTTTCACTTGGTCAATTAAATTTAAGTGGCCTAGAGAATAATGACCTTTTTTTTTTTTTTTTTTTTTTTTCAGAGCATGTGTTAGCAGCCAGGAATTCCAGCTCCATACAGCAGCCCTAGCTACAAAACCTTTCTGTCTTCCTGCAAAAGTTTACATTTCTCGTAGATTAGGCACAGATGAGAAGTACTGATCAGCACAGAGGATTACATATATAACATGAAGTGTCAAATATCTGTGCTTTTCAGAAAATGATTTAATTCAACTATTCTTTATCACCTATCTTTATGATTTCCTGTAAAGAAACTAACTGTTGCACAGTCTAACCAACACTGGTGAAAGTAAGTTTTTCTTTTTACACCCGAAGACTGTTTTCTTTAAATGACAATAAACTAAAAAGTTCCTCTGATTTTGTACAGGAATGCACAGGAAAAGCAAAAATCAAGTGCCAAAGGAAACTGCCTGAATGAGAGAATAAATTGAAAGAAGGGGACCAGTAAAAACACTGAGTAAACTGCATATAAAATTAAATAATGGAACTAGAGCCAGTGCTGAATTTGAAAAAACAAAGGCTATTTTCCAAAATTATTGAGCAAACTGCTGGTAATTCAAGTTTAAATCCAGATTGAAAATGGGGAAAGATCTCACTGCAAGACAGTTGCTCAAAAGTAACTTTTTGAATCAATAACTTCATATTTTAAAGTTACAAATTCATACAATTTGTCGGCATTCAAGTCAGGATTCTACATGCATCTTATTCTCTAGAACATACCTACTGGAAAAATTCCATTTAACAGTATAAGAAGGTCCAACTAATAAAACAAGTCAATGCCAAACTCAGCAAGCTCATGGCTTTTATTACACTTTACAAAGTGCTTTGAATAATGTAAGGAAAATGAGGAGGATTCACAGAGATAATATAAGCATCTAACTTAAAACCTGGCTAGACAACGCTCCAGTAATGGAGGCATGCTGTAAGGTCTTTCACTGGCACAAGCGACCAAGGTTTCGTTCTTAGGTCCAAAAGATGACAATTTCCAACTGCTCAACATGCGAATGGAGCAACAAATCAATACTGACTCACAGGGGAAATTGCCACCTACTACATCACCAAACACATTTGCTGTAGCAGTTGGATGTTGTAAGACTGACATACACACTGTGGTGGCCAAACCCTTCTGCAGTCATATAACAAGCTCAGTAGGGTTGGGCTGGTACAGTCCTGTCCAGCTGTAGTCACTAGAGCTTCTTGTGGTCCTTCTGTGAAGAGGATGGGAGTGTTCATGCCATTTGCTCACAAAATCCTAGACTGAGCCCTTACATTTTCTGTATAGCTAAATTTCTGCTATGATTCTAGTCAGATATGGTGTTTGTCACTTTCTGTCCCAAACAGTTAAAAAGAGCAGCTGAAGTATGCAACACATCATGAAAGTATGAAGTCACGAAGAAGTTATGACATGTGTTTTAAATATATGTTAGTTGTGTTAACATGATCTGTTCTGGTAAGCATCAACCAAAAATGCTTAATGTAGGCTCTGAAAGAGCTTCACAAAAACTGGAACTGCACTTTCCAGTAAAAAAAAGCAACCAAACAAAACCAAATGAAAATAAAAAACAAACCAAAAACATACACCCAGAACCCCCCCCACACCACCACTGCCACTCCCAATACAATAGTTTGTTACAGCTATTGTGATGTTAACAGAAAGCTGTGTGGAAAGGGGGAAAAAAAAAAAAAAAGGAAACAAAAGGCATGATTATCTGTGGCTGTGAGTCAAGAAAATAGCAACTGTCATAATTAAGCTTCCATTATATTTAAAACCAGGAGGTGCCTATTTTTAGGTCTTAATCTTGGTATGCCACCATTCCACAGCCAATATTGGTTTTATATTTCCATCCTGATGCACCCTGAAAGGGGCTGTTTCCCAGAAGTGCTAACAGGTCTCTATTGGTGCTTTGAACTGGAAACTTCAGTTGAAATACTCACTTATAACATGTGTTCAAAATCGCTTTAATGTAAGTGGTTCATTTTATTAGGATGTAAACCATGGAATAACAATTTTCACTCAAAATTCACACATCTTTTAAAACCTGTTTTATTCTATCAATAGTGAATCCACTGTGTCTTTGTTCTTCAAGGGGGGAAGGCTTAGTTTTGGGGCTTTGAGTTTTTTTGTGGGAGGATTTTTTGGGTTTTTTTGTTTTGTTTTTTTTTTTAAATCCTGCAATGTTTGGGTTTTCCATCAATATTGTGCTTACAAGAATGTCAGACATACTGAAGTCAAAAGAATCCTGCTTATTTATGGGAAATCAGACAAAGTTGATAATTCTTACACACCTTACTGTAATGAACAGGTAAACGGCTTATTAATGAAAAGTAGGGAGTCATTTAAACAGCAAAACAGAGACATAAACTTTAGTCACAAAAGTATAAAATGCTTAATTATGTCCTCAGGGATACAATATTCTTCACTGCAAAGTACAGTCAGAAGCTACAGGGCCAAGCAGGGCAAATGGAAAATACTTCAAAGTTGTAATACATCAAAAACACATCAGTCACAAGAAGCTGCACTCTTGGCAATGAATTGACATACAGTGTATTAAGAAAACTGGCCATAAAAGAAAATCCTAATTTAGTTCCATAATAGAGCGAGCTGTGAAACAGTAGCAGCAAGGATAAATTAAATATTGGGTTCTGATACTGAAATATTACAGAGAGAAAGAAGAATTACGTATATATAAACTCTCTGCATTTAATACCAAAATTTTTGTTCAGAAAAAGTTCTGGGGACAACTGGACAGTATGACATTGATGTTCAGGACTACTTAAACTTTGATTGGTAGATCATTAAAAATAGCTCCAACTGAGTCAAATAGACATACTATGTTTGGGATGCACAGACAGCAGAACCTATGATCTAAAACCTGCTTTCATTCACAGTTACAGAAAAAAAAAAATAGAGGCTTATAATACAAAAGCAAACACAGATGTTTATGCATAACTTTTCAAATAGCTGAAAAGACTCCTAAGACTTCCGTAAGCTTTGATTGTGGCCTACAAAGTCTGTATTTTCTCAATTCAATAGGCATTTTTTCTATAAAACGATGCAAAACCGACTTCAGTCACAATTACTATGGTAATTATTAGGGACATCATCAAATATGGTTTTGAAAAGTCAGAATAAACTGAATGAAAATTTCTAGTAAAATAGAAGTAGATGACCAAGTCGCTTCAAGAATTAAGACATACCAACTTTTATTAAAATACTTTGCTGTAGAAGTGAGTCTTGGGAGGTCAACATTACACTAATGTACATTCAGTTAATGTTAGTAGGAAAAATCAGTTTAAAGCTATTAAGTAAATAATACTAATAATAACTCTAAAATATCAACCTTATGTTAATTAAGATTTCCAGGAAATCAAACAGAAGTAGAATACAAAAAATCCAAGCAAATTATGTTGATTTACACATAACTAACCTCTTGAACAGAAGTTAATAAAAGAGCAGAAAAGAACTACACAGCATGTTAAGAGTATCACAAAGCAATAATGTACTAACCTGGTATGCTCTATTTATTTGGTTAGCTGCCCAGCTGGCATACTTCATATTATCTTTTTTCATTTTTGCGCTTGCTTTTGGATTGGAAGCAATATGGCTGGCAGACTAGGAATTAAAAAAAATAAAACCAGTGTTAACTACAAAATATATGTGCATGAAATAAACTGAGAGCATTCAGTACCTTTGCATTCAGAGCCCCACGCACAATGACAGCGGAAAAAAAGAAAAAAATAAGAACAGTTACTAGCAAACAGCATCCAATTAAGAATTAAACATTTTAAACCATTGTTCTTTAACTGAAGCTAAACTAGACTTCAGTTCAGCTGTGTACCAAGTTAGGAACCAAACCTGGACATGATCAGCTAATCCAGTTTGCTTTTCCTGAAGTAAGAGTTATGAATTAGTTTTCCCCATTAAATTTGTTACCAGAGACAATATAAAATATATCACTTGTGTGTCCAAACTGCCATTAAAAACACTACATTTTCCCCTGTGGCATCAGAAAACACATTTTAAAAGCAGGTAAGGCTCTATACATAAACTATGCCCATCTTCACCTGAAATAATAAAGAAAGATTACTTAAAAACTGAACAAATCTTAGACTTTTCCCCTAATATAAATAAATCCACTTTGCAAGGAATCATTGCTACTCTTTCCCAGAACATCTTTCTGAGTGCAAAAGTACTTGAATGCAAAAAAACACAGAATCCAGAGAAGATTTCAAAAAGAAGCATGAAAGAAAATGTCTGCAAGAATACTACATTTCAAACTCAAAGAACATTCCCTTACAGCTACTTTCCTGAAACTACCTCCAGAAATGGGAGAGGAGTGGGATTGTCAAAGAAGCAGCCTCCACAAACTTGGGAACACATTCTCTGAAGCCATGCCTGCATTAATTGAATTTGTGATCTAGTACAAGGTCAGGGTCCTAAGACGAGGCATCATTCTCTCTAGTTTCCTGAACTCGATGAAGTGTACTGTCCAGTTTCTTGGGCAAGTATGGCTGAAAGCCTTTGTGGAGAATTTACCAGGGTTATGGACATTCTTTGGAGGACTACAAACACCGGACATGTCTGTCAAGTATAATAGTAGCAGTCACAGCAAAACCAGATCCTAAACCCTGGACACAGCATTACAAAGAAATTAGGATCCCAAAAGCAGATACAGAAGCAGTGATGGCAAGCTGTGCTTGCAAAAAACAACCAGTGAAATGTGACAACAGCCAGCTGAGCAAAACTAAAGAAATGAAACAGAGCGTACAAGCATGTTTTGCAGTAATGAATGCACATTATGCAAATCAGGGTTTATGAGTATGACTTTCAGGCACTGCCAAAACAAAAAGTTTCTCAAATGCTTGGGCCATATTAGCTCAAGGTTGCCAGCCAGATCATCACAAATAACAGGCTCTAAGTCTACTTTACAGACTGAAAATAACAGGCAGGCCATAAGTTCTGATGGAGGACAAGCCAAGATTGGCCATAATAAAACCCCAGGTCTATTCTAGAATCAATGCAAAGACTATATATGCGCACACCTTAAAAATCAGTTGAGGCCAATATACAGATTTGCTGCAAAACTTACTCTTAAAAAGCTCAATGACATAAGGAACAGCAAGAAGCCATTCTTTTCTCCTTCTTGAATGTACAATCACCAACCCAAGAATCTGCACAGATGGGCTAAGAAGATTAAGTCCAAGTCTCCCCAAGTCTTAAAGGTGATGCCTAACAAGTCAGTTAAAGGAAGCTCCTGTTGCTTGTTATTTATAGAAAGTGTCAAAGTTATCTGCCTGATGCGTCTCTGTAAACCGCTCCCCTCCTAAAGGGGTGACCTAGAATTTTTTAAAAAAATAATATATGGAACCTTTCTGGTTTTGTCCCTAAAAAGGGTCTTTTAAAAGATCTGAGATCAAAAGGAAGATCTTCAATAGAGACCTCAGTATCTATGGAAAAACTGAAGAACTGGTGCCAGTATATGCTACTCTGTAGTTACTGTAGTAATGGCCACGCTCAAGCCAACAATGCTGTGCAAGCTAAAGACTCGTTTCGAAACTGAAAGTGGAAAGCTGTATTGAGAAATTGAAAAAAATTTTTGAAATTTGTACTGAGACATTGAAAAAACTGAAAAGAAGAAAACCCAGGCTGATTTAAAAAAAAAAAAAAAAAAAAGCAGCCATCGTACTGAGCTGGTACTCTTCAGCAGTTCACCATCCTGTAGAGAGGAGTTAGACTTTAAATCCTTTTTCAAGAAGTTACCTTCATGTGCAAATGATTATAGTTCTTTGGAAAACATGGGCAAGACTTAAAGGTTAGAAGCACTTCAAGCAAGGAGTACTTACTCGCATAAAATTATCCATAGTATTTAAAAGTGTTAATAATCTGAGCTCTTAAATTAAAAAAAAAAAAAAAGGAAAGAAAAACCAGCAAATGGTAAATGCATAAAAATATTAATACATCATTACATGCATAAAATCATATTCAAAATGTTAACACGGAAAATATATAATCATGCTTACCATGTAAAGTCCAAACAAAGCTCTCATATTTCTGTTGTTAAGCTTCAGTGCTTGTGCAAAATACTTTCTTGATAGCTCAAGGTTTTCAAGCCCCCCTTGAGTGTATTTAACCTGTAAAAATTATAAGCTCCTGAAACTTGTGCATGTCATCCATACCTCAAGCATTCACTCTTGAAGCAAAGATACTATCAAATGTCAGGTTTGTTTCACATGATATTTCAAATCAGGTGACTCCTACCAAAGGCCAAATACTGGCTTGGGAGAAATCTGAGCTCTTTTCAATACACAAATTTTAAAATATTTAACTACAGGAGAAAAAAAAGCCCCAGCATTAATTTAATTAATTTGTTGCTACAAGAATAAAAAGTGATTATTTTGCACCTATACATGCTTACAAACTTGGGACAGTCTCTTATGAAAAGTAATATAAACTAAATCTAAAGGTAAATTCTGACTGCTATAAATCCATACTATATATTTTTCAGCACAGCATTAAACCAGCACACGATGCCTTTCATTATCTATTCAACTGCAAAATAGCACACAAAGTTTAGAAGATTAGTCCATTTTTTTCTATTAATTTTGCCTGTTGATAGATCAACAAAAAAGGATAAATACTAGAAGACGTGCTTCACAGTCTATCAGAAAGTTATTTAGAGTTTCAGGTTTTACTGTTAACCCAATTTTATCCACATTAACAAAACAAATTCAAACCATTCTAAGTAGTTAACAGTTACATTTAGGAGAGAAAAAAAAATCTGAAAAAGAGTGCAAATGGCTAAAAACCTTGAGCTAAAACTTCTAACAGCCTTCTCTCCACCCAGTGCTCTTTCAGGCAAAACTTGCTATGTGAATTCCAAGATCTGGCTCCACAATAACAGGCAATATATCATAACCTCCTAGGCAGCATTGTTGTGGAAAAGCTTAACTTCTCATGCATTTAATTTGAAAAGTGCATAAACACTTCAACAAGAATACCTCATTTTAAACGAATTTTTATCTGCAATAACTCCTGCCCTTATTCTTATATTTAGCTCAGTCACACTGAGTAAGAAAACACAGTTTTCGTAATGTGTTAAGTTCTACGAAATGTTAACATTCTCTGTGTACTCTGTTAAATCTCCTAGGGAAAAATTAAAGAAACCATTTTTATTCCATTTTCACCACTTCAGTAACATGAAAACAGAGTATGTATTCAAACATAATTGATTATTCTGAAAATACTTACTTCAGCATATTGCTGACAATATAAGTGGTTGTGTGGATTAGTCATCATAAGCTCCTCCAAGCAGAAGGCTGCCTTTGCATAGCTGAGGAATATGAAAAACACAAAATTAAACAGAGTATACAGTTCTCTGCTTCAGCTTCTTTACAGCACAATAAAAAAAAGTCTTACTTTTCCCCCCATAACTTCATGATATACAGTTAATAAAATTGTTTTTAAATGATGATTGAAATCTCAAGATACTAATTTCACATTATAGATAGTGAAAAAACATACAAAATTTTATAGTCTAGGTATGTACGGAACAGCTTGGAGGAAGCATTTAATACAGAGATTTCTTATTAGTAAGTGCCATTTCTTATTAACAAGAGTAATGAGTAGAAATAAGCATTAGGTAATATAAGACATTTAACTCTGACTATACTTCATCTTTTTCTACAAGAAAATTCAGCTACCTGCAGATTCACAAACCAAGCTATGTACCAGAGCACTTACGGGGTCCGTTAACTTTACCTGCTCACAGTCAACCACAGAAGTCAGGTCAAAAAAACATACTAAGAACAGTTCTAAAAATCAAACAGTTCCAATCTATATATGAAAAGAGCATCATACCAGTCCAAATGAGCAACAACTTATTGCAAAACAAAAGGTTAGTACTTGTTCTTTAAATGAAAGCTTTCCAGAATTACGAAGACAAGCTCAAAATCTAGGTTTATTTAATTATAAAAATCTAAGATTCATAATCTTTCAACTAATAGTGTTTCCTGCAGAACTTGCATGTTCTACAGATACGTGAAGTAATTTTAGTTCAACTATAACAGCACTGTTGCACAGTGTATACATGATAGGATTCCAAAATTCAGAGATGCAATGCTTATAATGACAGTGTGGGTAGATATTTAGTATCAGAGTAAAAGGTCTTTAGCAATTATGAGACAATATTAAATCACATAATCTGTAAAACCTTGTTTCTTAAAATGAACATTTTGTGGTTTTGTCCTGTGCACACTGTGATAGTCAAATATGTTTTTCAAATATTAATTTGGAGATTAAAGGACAGCCACCTCATTCTCCAAAATCAGCAGCACAGTCCTCATAACGGAACACAGCAAAGAATTGAGGACTATATAAAACTTGTACATCTAAATGTGTTTATGAACAATGGTAACAGCATAGTGATTTCACAAGCGAGACTAAATTTGTGACACTGATAAAACAAACTAGCTGATGAATTGTTTCCTTTTTTTAAAAGTAACTTTTAGTTGGTTTTTAGCCAAGATTCCAGTATTTCCCCACTTAATCATCAAAATAATCATAATAATGATGCTCATAAAAGTACAGTGAGCACATTCAGTTTTTTCAATGAACTGGAGCAAGTTCTACATATTATTTTTTATTGGAATTACAGGACAAACCCAAGCAAAAGCGATTTCTTTCTCAGGTTTTATTACACAATTTTGTAATAAAGATTATAGAAAAAAAACCAAAATAGTAATGGAATACGTATGTTTGTACCACTCTATCATTCACTTCTGTACCGACAGATCTGACAAGCTTAAATACCTTTCTAACCTTTTTTTTTTTTTTTAATAGCTATTTTCTTGGAAAAGAGGCTGGTGATTTTCCCAAAACAAATGGAAATCTGGATATAAAAATTCTAGGTTATTCCTTCAGTCAGCATTTGAAAGAGTTTAATAATTATTTTCTTTGAGAATGGGGTGGAAGGAGAGGTGATGGGGGAACAATTTTTTCATCACAGTGAAACGGCTATTTCTTCCTTGAGAATTTGATTCTTTTACTGCTCTCTAGAAAGGAAGGAAAGAAACAATGTGATATAATTCAGGCTGGGCTGAATAACTAAAGAAGGGGGAAAAAAAGATACGCCTTTGGGTGGAGGTTAGAATTAATGCTGTGATATTAGAAAACTTGCACTAAGGCTTTGAGCTAATCCTCTCACACTGGGATTTCCTCCTGTCACTACAGCAATAAAAAACAGCTAACAAAAACATTAAATATCCAATAAGCAAGTTACTACAACATTGAGCATTCTTGATTGCACTGGGTTTTGTACCCAGGCGACCAGATGCCTCTAACACTGGATCCATGTTTTGTTTCAGTTTGTTTTTTTTTTTAAAGGTTACTAGAAGTTCTTGTAGAGGTAGACTAAACGAAAATGTGATATCAGTTGCTGTGATCAACTGATTTGAGAAGTAAAGAATTTTAAATCTATAAATAGTAAAAAAAATCACTTGAATGAAAAATTATGGGAAATAAGTGCTGTTCCCTGATATACTCCAACTTCTTTTAAAGTACTGGATTTAAAAAAATGACTGAAACATCGAGGTAATTAAGTAAGCAGTTTCTGTTTTAAAATCAAATGCCTTCTTAAAGCATTTGGTAGTCAAATAAATGGGTTGGTAATTATTTCCTGTTGATGCTTGATATGTTGGAAATGAGACAGCATACTTTCTAATGCTAGTCCTTCAAAAAAACCAAAATCACTGAGGTCTTTGACTTACACAGAGTAGGTTTCAATTTAACAGATTTCATGTGGACTCAGCAAACAACTTACTCATGTTCATTGATGTAAAGTTCTGCAAGTTCATGCCAAGCTTCTTGGTCTCCAACAAATCTGCATAGAGAAGAAAAGAGAGGGGAAAAAAAAAAAAAAAAAAAAGAATGTGCAAGGGAGTCTGTAAATGACCAGCATGGAAGCAAAAGCGTAAATCAAATGCAAATTCCATTTTAATTAAAAAGATTTATCAGAATAGCAAAACACAATTCGTATTCTTGTAAGACACTCACTGTTCCAGATATTCATTCAGCTCTCGGATGGCCTCAAGATTTTTCCCCTGGGCTTTTCGAATGGCAATCTTACGCTTTCTTGCTGCCTATGGTTTGACATTAATAAAGGATTAGGGTCTCATAATTCCCTGGGTTTTTGTAAAGAAAGCAATTTGACTGTGCAAATTATTGTCTCAATACCAGTGGAATTCCACTGCAGAGCAACTGCTAGGTTGAAGTTTATAAACATACCCTATGACATCCCACTGAGAGATTGAAAACCTCTTCTTACAATCACATTATGTATGCTTTTCTTTGGAGGCACAAACTGTATGCATTATTTCATTCAAATAAATGACTGTCCAGATTCTGATAATTACAAAACAGCAGGGGATGCTAATCTTCAGTCATTCCAAAGACCCCCACCTTGTCATTCACAAGATGCATGACTATAGAGAAGAAGCAGTGACTGAGTCTTAGAGAATCCCACAGATGTATCTGGGTTGCCACTGTATAAATATGGCTTTCAGCCATTTTTAAAGATTCTTGTTGGAGTGCTGACCACCATTTTTAATTCATGTTGAATACACACCAATTTCATAAACAAGTCTCTCATCATTCTTGGAGCACAAATTAGGCTCTTCAATGTAAAGGGAATACAAAATAGCTATTTCAAAGGCGAAACTAAGCAGTACTTCAATATGTGGGTGGAAAATGTACTTCAACATAAACAATATAAAAACAAGTTAGAAAAATTACACTGTATTAAAATTTTGAACTCCACAGAAGTTGTTACAGACCACCAGGAGGAAAAGATACACATAATTTTAGTAGTTGATTATTCTGTACTTCAATATTCCAGTTTCTGAAGTATGTTGGTTATAGTTCTCTAAAACCAGTTTTCAGACCTCTAGGAGCTGTGAATCAAGATGCACTTGAGATGTAATTCAAAACAATGGACAGCAGTCTGACAGTTTGAAGAAAACAGCACTCACTACACCTCAGCCAGCCTGAAAGTCATCAGATTGGGAATCTGACAGAATGAAAGTAAAACCAAATTCCAGCATAACATGCCTCAAAGAACAAACGCCACCAGCCTCCTGCCTTTCCTGTAACCCCTGTTCTCCTGGGTGATCACAAATGCTGTAGTCAGACAGAAGAAGACAGATGGTCTGGGGTGCGTGATGTGTCTGCACGTGCACACACAATTATAAGCCATTTCTCCATGAAATAATATTGATGAAAAAAAACCCAATACAACACTCTTTTCCGGTAACACTGCTAACTGCCTTCATAGCTCTCATCCTATTTTATATCTTATAAAGAGGTTATACAGTTGGGTATCAACTTATGGAAGCCTTGACAACACAGGAAAGGACAATTCTTTAACAAAACTTATAACCATTTTTAATCTTTAAAATAGCTCTGAAATTAGTTTCTTCATGATATATCTTCCTAAGATCAGTCACATATACCTGAAAGAGTTCTTTTATTTTTACACTATTCTGAAGATCACTATTCTTTTTCTTATCCTTTGATCATCATTTGCATAAATTAATTGCTTCCAGAAGAAGAGGCGAGTATAGCATTTTAGTAAATTAGTTCAAGTTACCAAAACAGCACAGCCAGAAATTATTTTAACATAACTGTAGGTTTATTGTTTATCTCCTTCACCTCCTCTACAAACATATATTTGATGAAAATTCAGTGAAAATTATTAAAGTGAACAAAAACCATTTCACTCTTCTGCTTAAACGCAAGGCACAGGCAGCAAGAAAATTCATCAGACTAATCAGGAGACAAAATAGGACACAGGTTGCATGGTGGGTTTACCCACAGTCATTTTGTTTATCACTGCTTCTTTCTCAAACTTCAACCTGTGAGATTACATTCATCATCCTACTTTCACGGGGAGACATTTGGCTAAAAGCCATAACTGACTCTGAAAATTTTAACTGATGACCACATTTACAACTTCAACACAACGCTTATTTTACTTTTTAAAATATATTTTTAATAGAGTTTTAAAAATAAAGGTAACTGTAATTAAACTTATTTTGATATATAAAAAAATAATCCCACATGTTTATCATATTGGTACTATCACTAAACAGAAAACCAAGCAAAACCACCCAAGAACAAAACCACTGTTCTCTATCATATTTTATGAAGCAGTCTCAAAGCATTTAAAGCAGGTCAACACCCTTGCTATGGTGGGAACACCAGGGCAGTGTTAAACACACTACCCAAGGCTGATATTATACACAGCTCAGTGATCTACCCATTGAGCACGAAACATGAAAGAAAGGGGAGTGGGGATAACAGTGTGCATAGCCAAAGGAGCATGTCATGGAATTACAGTTTACGAAAACAGAAGATTTTTGCGAGTAACAGACTATCTACTTTAAAATGTAACTCTGGATTAAGAACTCAGTTGTTATTTTCAAAATCTAAAGAAAAACAATCAAGAGACCAATGAAAACTGAAATAAGCTGTTTAATGTATAAATTCAGTCAATGTATCTGACAATTTAATTTGCAAGGGCAAACAGGAACAATGTACATAAGCCACCCTCCTTTTTTGTATCTAAAGTAACTCCCTCAATCACATGCAAGTCAGTCCTCCAAAAGTCTGGAAACAGATTTTCACCACGGCTGCTTTATTTCTCAACCACAACACTCCCAAGAAACGTGAACTACTGGAATCTCAAGACATTAATTTATGAAAAGCTACAACTACTTCTAGTCACAAATATAAATTGATGTTCACCTATAACAAGGATGTCATGTAATGCAATCAAATAATAAGGATGAAAGTATTATAATTAACATGTTCTGATGGTAGCACTTAGGAGTTAAATGGATTACATACACATTTTATGGAATTTATCTGTTTCTAAATTGCACCAAATCTCACAACATTTCTCCTAAATTACACCATTTCTTATTTGAGGGAAAAAAGTATTTAAAACTTCCTTTTTTATCCACCTTCCGTATCACAAAAAATAAAGCAGCATCTTGGCGTGAAATCTGCACTCTCTTAACCCTCAAATAAGTTTTCAAAAATGCTGGGATAAGTTTATTTACAGAGAATTCTTAGTTTGCAAAACAGAGGCTTAGCCACTCAAAACAATACTGACATTCAGAGAATTAACAAAATTTTTTACAGTAGCAGAGAATTTTTGAAAGTCTCTTTAAAACCACTGGGAAGAAGTCAGTGAGGATGTAGTGGGTTTTTAAACAATTACTAGCATTTTTCGATCACATAAATAAAATAACACAAATATTCTGAATACACTGCCAAGAGACATACATGTGGGTGTTCGGTAGATCTGAAATATACAGATCTGCGATTCCTAGGAGTGGTAAGACTGGCTAAAACATAAACACATGTAAATGAACTACTATTGCTTTTATCTGTATTTACAGACTACCCTCCCATCAGACTTTCTAGTTCTGTGAATCATAGTCTATAAGTGTTTTTTTTTTAATAAAAACTGAAATTCAATGTCTCCAGCAGTCACTGCTTTAAGAAAAACATGTAGGAAAAGGCCTGCACAAAAACCAAGACATGGGCCATTTTGTGTGCTGTAAACTTCTAATTCTTATTCTGATTTGTACTGCCCATGAGCCTCTACCTAGCTCCCCTGTATCAGCTTCCTCCTCAGTAAGCTGGGGCTTGCACTCAGTATACTTACTGAGCATCTTGAGAAAAGTGGCATAACTAACAACAATTTACACACATAGCATCAATTTTTATTTTCATCAAATTAAACAAAAGATTTCACTGCGCGGAACCACTGCCAACACTAATAACTACTTTACCAGACAAAAAAAAAATAGTTATTTGATAAGGAAAGCCAATTCTTTTCCCACCAATTCTACAGAAGCTTTAGCTAGAAGTTATTTCATATATTCAATTTACTACCTGCCTTTGTATCAGCTGATATTGGAAAAACCAGGAAATTTCATATGTTTTATTATGTTTCAATTTTTAGTAAAAATCTCACATTTCAAAATATAAACTCATTTTTAGGAGACCTATTGCAAGGTACCAAAAAACCTGCAAAATACAAAGTACAAATATGTTCAATCATTAATTTCAAGTCCACTAAGAATATTCAAGAGAAACCTACAAGATTTGAGATTATTTTGAAATCTATGAAACATACAAATATTTTAAAGATAAAAAATAACATTCAAGAGTTACATTTCAGTTCTTCACATCACAACAGTAAGATTTTTAAAAACAAGCCTGATACGAAAATGAACTCAATCTCCTTTCTCCTTTCACCTTAAATCAAAAGGAACAGATAAAACTTTCAGTGCTGCAACAAGATCTGCAGTGTTTGACCATGCAGAACCTATGACACAGAATTCCCCCTATCAATTTTCTAGGCTTTAAGACAAAACACTAGAATGGTTATTGACTGATTCTGTAAATCCTGGATTCTTAATCAAAAGATAGATGCCATCTTAAAGAAACATTTATACGGTAATCAGTATCATATGGACTAAGGTACTTCAGTATGTCATGTATTTATTAAATAGCGAACCTTTCTAAGCTATTTCTTTTAAAGACTAAACTAATAATCCCCAATCTGTCACAAGAATTAATCCTCCATTTTCCATGATTCTTTTTAATTAGCATTAAGTAGACTCAAAGTGAAGTGAGGAGTTAAACCTTTATCAGCTTCTGCATTTGATTAGTAAAACATACCAAGAGAGAGTCTAAGATTGCTATAAATTTCATGGTTGCAGAGAAAGTATTAGTAGGGGAATTGTCTGGGACTGACACCTCCAAGAAAGGAACAATTTCACACCTGTAAAACTAATGCAGCATTAAATTATATTTTGCATCTTAATATATAAAATTATATTTTGCATCTTAAAAAGAAATTCTTAAATTTAAAAAAATTGTCTTTATCAAGGTCTTAACATGTTAGAAAATGTGCATTTGGTCTAAGAGCTTGATACATTAAAATAATTTCCTTCAAACTGCAATATGCAAATCAAAGCAGAAGTGTAAACAACTACAGCAAAGATAAAGGGAAGGAATTACACAGACATCAAAAAATACCATATAATCTGAATATAACCACATACAA